ATTGTAGATGTGTTTTTTGCTATTTGTAATTTGTGTATTGAAATGAGGGATTTCCTTAGTATAGGAATTAAAATTACCTGCAAGCACTTAAGCTAAATTATTTTGTAATTGATTTGATCAGATAAAGGAGATTAGAGAACTGACTGTCAATTTCCTTTCCTTTTTGTCATAGGGAAGATAGCAAAAAATTATCACTAGATTGATTTTGGGTTTGAATTTCAGATGAAGAGCTATTCAGTATTGATTAAATACTGTGGTTTTAAAAATGTATGGCTCGAGATCTTTGTCCAACAGAATAGATACACCATTTTTGAATATTATATCTGATGAAAAGTTGAAAAGAGCTGTGTTGTTGACTCTTTTAGAAAATGGTTTTTTAATGGATTGTTTAGTTTCTAAGCAGCAAATTATTTCTTTGGCCCCTATAGATGAGGAGAGATATGTTATTTTGGCCAGGTTTTCATTGCCCTGGGTGTTAATTGCTATAATATTTATGAGATTTTTGGATTTATTTTGTTTGAGGGATTGAGCAGTTGTTATATCTTGTTCAAATGTCAGTGTAGGAGTTTTCATAAACAAATTGTAAGGAGTAACAGCCTCTGAAGAATTTGTCATTAATTAATCTTACAGAAGAGATCAAGTCCGGAATTGGATTGATTTGGAATAATAATGAATTCTGGTAGAAGCTTGGTGAAGCAGAAGAATTTATAGAGTTCTCTAATGTTCATATTGAGATTTTCATCTTCAATCAAAGGCAGGATTATTGTAAAATTATTGTTTTTGAGAGTTAAGTTCATTTCTTTTAAGATAGAGATTTCTGGAAGGCTGGATATAATCTATTTTTCAGGAAGAAAAAATTATATTTGATGTGCAGCTTTTTGATAATTGTAGCGAAGTCTTTACTTGTTTTGTCAATTTTTCTGGAGAGATTGAAATCTTTTTGAACAATTTCAAAATTTTTTGAAAGTGGAGGTTTGTTACTTTGGTTGAGATGTTTAATAATTCATTCAGATCCAAGAGATAGAGTAACAAAAAATTGTTTTTATAAGTTTTTGATAAAATCTTTGACAAGATCTTGATTGGTAATAGGAAAGTAATTCCCTGGTTTTCTATTTTCCAATATGGTGAGGAAGTCTGCATTTGACTTTAATGAAGTCATTGAAAAGACAATAAACATAATAATTCTAATCTTTGAAAGCTTTTACAGCAGATCTGATCAAGTTAGTATCATTGTTTACAGGAAGAGTCCAGCAAGATCATAGGTGAGGTCTTGATAATCTCCAAGCAATAGCTTCTTTTTTGAAGGAAGTTAGAAGTATTCTTCTGGAAGTTTGCTTGGGACATAGTAATCCTCTCGAAGTGAATTTTTTTTTTTTTTTTTTTACACCTAATCAGGCCATATAGTCAAGTTTATTTGCATTCATTGTTGGAATTTACCCAAGGTACAAAAAGTAGATACATATAGTACCAGTTGTAATTATACTAAAAATTAACTTATTACATATATATGGCACACCCATCAACGGCCACTGGCCTCTAGATATGATTAAGGGAAATGAAAAAAGTTGCTCTATTTTGATCCACTATTCCTTGTGAATCTCTATATCATTGCTAGCCCTTCACTCAAGACTGTTTACTCCAACTTAACCTCTGTAATCCTAAGGTATAAAATTTTTATATTTTTGAGAAAATAAAGGGAAAGAGTAAAGGGGAAAGAAAAAAGTTTGCGCTGGTAATATAAAATCCTACCAAAACCAATCACTAGCCTAATAAGAGCCTTCTTTGACCTTGAAGAGAAAAGAAATCAACACAAGAGAGGAGGGGAAGGCTTTCAAACACTTCTTAACAAGAGAACACCTCAACACCTTGCTCTTTCGCTTTATCCAATTACATCATCAGTTATAATGTAGTATGACACGGGGCACGTGTGGGTACGTGTCTTGTTTATATTTCTTTTACTTGTTGATCAACCAGTCCAAGATTTCAGCCAATCACTATCTGGAGTTTTCGGTGTAACAAAAAATTCAGGATCAAACTGAGGTAGGCAAAATTCCCCAGAAAAACCAAGAAAAATTGAATACGCTCAAAAGTGCTACCTATAGATATGTATAAATGGTAGAGAAGGTTCATACACCTGTCCAATAGATTCCTATCAGCTTATTCACTTGCCTGACCAAGGAGTTTACTTACAATGGATCCATACTTGGGAGTGTATTTACTGATAAGCCCAGCTAGCTTATCCATCCGCCCCAGCAAAGGTCTTATGATGGACCCAAGGTTCTTATGGGTCTTGGAAAATGCATTCACTAGTGGTTCACTTCTCTAAAGTTTCTGACCTGAGGAGAAATAATAGAAGGTGTTTTTCTACAGGTTTCTTCTTCCTAGTAAGATGTTCTTGCCATAGATCAAATGGGTAAAGTTTTGTCTATTTTGTTATTGAAATATCCAAAGTTTTTCGAAGAAGGAAAAGTAAACAAGTGGGGGAGGCACCTGCCTTCAGGAAGTAATGTTTTTAAGGAGAGTGTATAGACTTTATTATCAAAAATAAAAATTATTTTTGAGAATGTCTGTTTTTTGGATTGGTAAAGGAATCAGCAGAAAGAGTTTTTTAATATACATATATTATGATTTGTAACAATAATTAAACAAATATAATTAATATAATTAAACAAATAATTAATAAGGAAATAATAAGCAGAGCAAAGGAAAAAACAGAATTACAAATACATTAACAAATTATTAAATACATATAGAGCTGAACAAAAGAGATATTAAATTGTATAATGAAAGAAGCATTAATCAGCAAAATTATTATGATTATAAAAACAAATACAACTTCAACAATATATAAGAAAACCATATAAAGTATCCAAAACAGAATTCTTTAAAGTTTGAAAAAGATTTGAATACAACAAAATGAACAATTCATACAATGGGAAAAGAAAGTAACATAATACAGTATAACAAGACAAATGGAAATGAATAAACAACAAGAGAAAAGTAATACAACAAAAACAAATATACCAGGGATCAATTCAATTATGAATTATATAATAAATAATTGGATTAATTGGAATACACTATACAATTTTAAAATTTTTTTTTAATAGGGATTGATAGAGCTTTGGCAAATTAGTTAAAGATATATCAATAAATTTCTTTTGGCAATAAGCCATATGGTAAGAATAACTTTTAATGAGTTTAAAGAATAGATAGAGTTTCAAAATTTTATAATTTTCAAATTTGTATATTTTTAAAACAATATTTAATAAATAAGATGTAAGCTGCTTGTTAAAAAAAAAAAAACCTTATATTTTATATTATTTGTAATAAAAAAATATTTTGTAATAAAAAAATATATTTTATTTAATTTTCAATTTTAAAACATAATATATTTTTAATGTTTTTTTAAAATTATATCAATAATATTAAAAAAAATATAATTTTATTAATTTAATTTTTATTATTATTGAAATATTTATTAAATACAATTATAATTATTTTAAATATATATTTAAACTATTTTTTATTTATTTAAATCTTTTTTTCAACTTCAAATATATACTTTTAACCATTTGATATTATATAACAAGAATACATCTTATAAAAAAATTTTTTAATAAAAATTATTTAATTATTATATACTGATTAGCATTTAATTTATTATATTTATAAATAATAATTATTGGTATATTTATAATATATTGTATATTTTGCAATATATAAGTAAATAATAAAATAAAAATTATTTATTTAAAAAAAACAAGAAATTTATTTATAGTATATTTTAAAAAAATATTGAATAGGTTTAAGAAAAATCATTGCAAAATTCTACAATAGAAATATTGAACTGTTTGTTATATAAAATTTTGTTGTTTTTAAAATTCTATTTATTATAATATATGATTTTTAATTGTTTAGTAAATATTATAAGAAAAAAATCTATTGTATTAAAAAATAAACAAAAAAGCAAAGAAAATATAAAAAAAGTAAAAAAGTAAATATTACAAAAGTAAATTATTATTTTAGACAAGATTATTAAGAAATATACTATTATTATCTAATAAGACAAACAATTAATTAATTATCATATTTTTAATTGATTTTATTATACAATATTTAATTGATTGCCAATTTTCATAATAACATTATATAATGACAATAAATTTTATAAAAAAAAGATTTGATTTTTGTTTAAAGAATTTTTATGATAAAAAATGTGTGAAATTGTAAAATTTTGAAATGGTGTAAAAGGTTCAAATGTAAAATAACTACAGTAATGGTTTATTGTTGATAATCTAAGATTATATTTAAAAATTTTAAATCAAATATTTGGACATGCAAATGTGTTTATACAAAGGTATGTATTTTAAATAAATTCACAAAATATTTACTTTACATAACAATAAAATGTAAAGGTATTATTTAAATATAACTAAATTATGAAATTAGTTATTTATATAAATCTATTGCATCATATTTCGTTACAGTATGTATATATACAATATCATGAATAATCTAATTTAGCCATTTAGAAAAAAAATTTCATAAAAAGATATTGATTGCATAACATACTTGCGTGTTTATATATTCATGTACATAAACTTAAAACACTAGTAAAGTTTTTTTTTGAATTTATTCGTTCAATCATCAATCATTTATTGATTTTCACATTTAATATACTGTATGTATAGTAAGCGTAATTAAACAATTATGTGTTAACAGAGAAGAGAAATTAACGAAAAGCATATTAAATTTCTTTTGATCAAAAATAAGCCTATGGCGTAATTTCACTCCGTGATAACATTTTCGTCAAATGGTGCACATCAAATACTCATATCGATTAGTTAAATGATACAACCTTTCGGAGAATTGAATTTTTCATTAAATTGTCTAGTATTAACGCCATACTCTATTTCCGATACTGTGATTCTACACGAGTATAAATTAACAGTGCAAGTTAGATATAAACCCTCGTACTGGAGTACTTCTTTCCAAATATGGCACTCATCCCAACAGGAATCGAGTCTTCCACAGAACCCACTATTAATCATCCAGCCATTCTTGTAATAGGAAGAAGTGGTAGGTCAAATTGAACTTTGAGATATATTTGTATATAACGACAGGTCAATTTACTTTATAATTTTCAGGTGTAGGAAAAAGCACGCTGTGTAATTGGTTATTGGGTTACGAAGGAAATGACGGTATTTTCGAAACTGATAGTAATCAGGTAAGCCTTGAGAATCATTCGTTAAATTGTTTATTGGAATATTTTATTGATATAAAAATATATTGTTTAATTAGACAAAAATGAATGAAGGATGTGTCTCCAGTCTTCTAAAAATTGAGAATAGGTGGTTGAATCTCATCGATACTCCTGGGCTTTTCGATCCCAACGAAGATTTCAGAAACGAAAAATCCATTAAAAAAGTTGCTAGCATCATTAGAGAATGTTCATACGGAGTCCAGGCTATTATTTTAGTCATTGGTAAGACAAGTAATTTACTATTAAAATTAACTGTTAAAGTATTAATTTTCTGAAACATATGAAAAATATTCGTACAAAAGACAGACATGACCTTCAATCTTTTGATAACACTCTCAGGGTGGTCAAATCTTTTTTGGGGGACGAGAGTCTCGAACATATGATCATAGCATTTACATATTGTACAAAGGGACAAACAGAAAACGAGGGAACCTTGATTCTTCGCAAAAATATGAGAAATCTTTTGACCACAATTAGGAATCGTAAATTTATCTCCCCTAACCCTGACATATTTACGATAAATGATGATGCGGTAATAAAAAATATGAACATAGCTCGAAGACTAATCGATGAATTTTCGTCCGCGTACACAACCGAAATGTTCAATCGAGTTCGAGATGCCAAAGATAAAGTAAAGCAATCAGAAAAAGAGGCAGGTGATTGCTTTGATATCAGCACCAAGGTTATACTTGAAAATGGAAATATTGTAAAAATGATGAATGTTGTCATTGGTGACCGCGTCTGCGTAGGCGTAAAAAAGGATAAATTGGAATTCTCGGAGGTTTATCTAATAGCGCATTATAACATTGAAAGATCTACAAAGTTCCTGGAGATTGAATTCTCATTGGAAAATGAGCGAGAGGGTATGTAGAAGATTAAAGTATTTGCTATTTTGTCTTATTTTGTTTACATTATTTACTATACTTTAAATATTCATGAAGTTTCAGGAGACATTTGTCTTACCCCAGACCATCATATATTTTTTAACGGTGCCTTGGACTATGCAAAAAACATTATTCCCAATATTTCAAAGATTAATGTTTTACATAATAATCGGATGGTGCCGGCCAATGTTACAAAAGTCAGAACTGTAAGTATCATAATTATGACTATTATTATCACAACTCACTTTCATTACTATCTACAGGAATTGATTTTCCCTTTTATTTGAATAGGTATATCACGATGGCTTTATTGCAGTTTTTACGCGTGCGGGAACAATCCTCGCAAACAACGTATTATGTTCATGCTACGCACTTTCCCCACCTTACCAAGAAATAAACCATGCTGTCCTGGCACCACTTCGAATAGCAAGCTATTTTAAAAGGTTGAATAACGAGGGAAAAGAGTTTAACCCATACATTGAATTTTTATACAAGATGTACAATAGAGTTAATGGTAGAAATACTGAAACCTCTAAAAAGTTTTCTTAATAGCTTTCATCTTTTGTTTGAATAACTATTACACATCCGTACTATGTTAATGTGAAGAGTGTTGCAGTTTGCGTAGGATATAAGAACGCAAGTTTAACAAGGAAATATCATTTCAAGTTTTGTAAAAGGAATATTAATGTAATGCCTGAATTTACCATAATATTCCTTGAGGTTTAGCATTCATTATAACTTCGCATTTACGTATTGCTGTGAACAATTAAATACAGTAGTTACTTTTGGCATCTTTTTATTAAATTATTTAATACACTGTGTACTAGCTCTACGGGTAATTATTATCTTCAAAAGTTCTATTTGTAAAGCAAGTTTTTACAGTAAAACAGTGTCTATTAAAAAGAAACACCTGGGTTTAAAATCGATAATAGTACCAGCGTGACAATAAATATAATCAAAATACAGTATTACTTGACGTAAAGAAAGACCACAACCGAAGTCGCAATAACCAACGACGTCAATACAATTATTTCTTTAAGATTTCTTGTAAACAACTCCTTGAACCCAATAAACTTTCTCCTTGGTGCCTTAATTTCACTAATCATTCTTTTCAATTCATCAATATTTTTTTCAATTACCTTCTTACCCTCGTCGCTAGTTCCAAAAATGTCCAAGTCAGGTGCAACCACCCAACGGTTGTTAATTGATTTAAGGATTGATCGAAGGTCCTCGTTAAAGGTAGATTCCATCTTTTCTCGATCAATTGTAACGTCCTTGCGGCGTTTTGTGAACACCATGATTAGCCTATCAGCTCGGAGGATTTTTATGACTTCTTCGATATGCATTTTGTCGGCCACCGTTAGACGTGTACCAGCTAATTTAATCATTTGCAAGCCTGTCATTTACTAAAGTCCGAAGTTTAACGTGAAAGAAAGAATACTGTATTATGAGTGGATTTTCTAACCAAAAATCAAAATGTATGCTTGGACGCCACATTTTTCCATAGCCTTCGTATTAGCCTTGATAATCTCATCCCAACTCCTTCTTGAATAAGTTTCGGTTGCAATTATACCAGGAGTGTCAACCAATGTGTATTTGCGATCATGTATCTCAACCTCTGCAGTTCTGATACCTATTGATCTACGCTCCTGAACATGTTAAATAATCACTGTATAGAATACGACAAATGTTTAAGATAACTAAACTAACAAACAACAAAACTCAAATCCATACATCTTTCTCGTGATCTTCATCGCGAACTTCGAATCTTATTGCCTCGGGATTAGTAGTGTATCCACCTAATAGCATATTTCCCACCATACTTTTGCCGGCACCTAAATTTGTAATAAATCAAAACAATAGTTAGGCATTCTCGCGAATGGAGATTGTTTAAGACGTTATTAATAAATTTTAAACAAGAATCATGTCGTGGAAATAATAAAAGGACCTTGGAGCCCGATTAAAAAAATTGCTGGTCGGTCAATGGTATCACTAACTGAAATGTTACTTTTCATTTGTTCAACATCTAATTTGATGCTTGTATCCATCCTTTCAAAAGAAATAATAGGTTTCCTTGATCAATCCGTGTTGTTTTTTTTTTAAAAAAAATTTTTTTTCTGATAATTATATAAATAGAAGAATTTCAACTAAAAAAATTGTGTATGAAAGTACGAAATTATTGCATCCATATTTTATTCTGTTGTGCGACATCAAAGCCTCTTTCTATGCCACGTGCTATGCATTTAAACTTTTATGCTTAACTTGGTGCGCACAATATTGTTGATCGTGAAATAGATCAACATCAAATATAAAGATTAATTCATGAGGACACAAGGCGCTCTGATACAGTATGAGGCACAATATATTGTGGATGCACAGGAATGCATGGATTTTTTTTTAATATTAAATCATTCATCATTATATTGCGGTATTAATGATCAGCTTGTTTGCTGGGCAAAACAATAATCTAAATTATATATTATGTAATATTATGTTAATTTTTCTTAAATTTCATAAGTCAAGAAATATAATTTAATTGACAATTATGTCAATTGCTAGTCATTAATTGAAATTCAAATATCATAATGATTTATGTAAAAAAATTACTATCTCTTGATTATCTTAAATATTATATAAAGAAAACTTGAAACCAAATGAAATATCAATGAAATATGAATAAGCCTCTTTAATTTTAAAAAAATATTAGAATGCACAATATTATTTGTCGCTATTTAATTTTTTTTTTAAAAAAAAAAATTGATTCAATACAATTTAATTTATTGTATTTTTGTATAAATTATTGTTATATTAAATAATAAGTTAATATTTTTTAATTTTATATTAATTACAAAATAATAATAATCATCATAATTATTGATTTATTATTAAAATTATTTCAATCAATAAATAAATTAAATATAGATTTATAAAAATTTAAAACTTTAATAAAATATTTTTTTGATAATTTTCTCTTATTAATCAAAAAATGTTCTTGAATAATTTATAGTTGAAAATTAAGTTATTTTTTTTTTTATAAATTTAATTTTGATAATATTTTAATAATAAAGGATTTTTTTTTTATTTTTGAAAAATAATAATTAAGAATAATCTTATAAAAAAATTAATTAAAATTAAAAATATAATTTTAAAATAATTTTTATAAAAACAATCATACTTAAAAAATATAAAAATAATTATCTTAAAAATTCAAAAATTTATATTTATTGTAATTAATTTAAATATTAAATAATTTAATTAATTGTTTATTATTATTTTTTTACAACTTATGCAAATTAAATTTTTTAATTAATTCTTTTTTTTTAATATTATCATTTTAATATATTTAAAACAAAATTTTTTAATTTTTTAAAATATAAAAACCAGTTTATTTATATTTTTATCTTGTTTTATTAATTGGTTATTGAATTTCAACATAAATATAAACATGCATTTAATTTTATTTAATTTCTTTTAAATCAAATTAGAAATTTCTAAAATTAAATATTATAAGTGAAAAAACAATATATACAAAAAAATTGATTTAATTTATCATTAATTTAAAAGTTTAATAAGTAAATTTTTAAAATAAAAAATTTGTAATCAATGATAATTTACCATAATAGCCATGACAATTATGATAAAAATATTACAATGGTTTTACCAGAGTAATTAAATATACTGTATTATTAATAAATATATATATTAAACATATTTTTATATAAATTATTTAATAATAAAAAACTAAATAAATAAATAAAAATTATTTGAGATAAAGATTATTGGAATTACCAAAAAACTTTTTCGATAATATATACTAATTTTTTTTTACAAAATCTTGGACAAAATTAGCAAACCAATATACTGTATTTAATTGTTCATTCAATTGTTAAATAAATCAACAAGAGATATTTTAAAAGGCATATTCGATTTATTTGATTGGATCTTTATTATGATTTATGATTAACAATAAATATTATATTTGTTATTATAGTTAATAATTAAAATCATGAAATTATGTTTAATAAAAAAAAATTATAAACTGAATGCAAAAAAACCATTTACCGTACAATTTATTTGAAATTCTACCTATTACAGAAATATATAATCAGTCTCTTAATTTTGTTTTCAGAACAACATATTGTATAATATCATACTTCTTTTTTTATAGTTATACCAATTTATCTTCGATAATATGAAGAATTTCAAAAATAAAAATACAATAAAAATACATATTGCAGCAAGAAACTTAATGCTAAAAAATTTCACAATAAGATAAGCACCGGGTGTAAGTGTTCCGCTTTTAACTTATTAAACCATCTTTTGAATTCTCGACAAAATATTTTCTGGAATTTTGCATCGCTTTGAAATATTCTGCTGGTATATGATTTCTATAGCAAATGGGTAACATCATTTCCACATATTTCAAGGGATTATGACTTGCTTCTTGCCATAAACTCTTTGCATATTTTTTTGGCTGTTTAAATGGCTCGCTATAAAATAATTCCCCTAATTTTTTCAATGGATTACCGTAAACCAAATTTTCTACAACCGCTTGACCAAACTTAAACAATCTGAATTCATTATTTTCAACAGGAACATTCTTGTTTATAGGTAAGTTGTACGTCTGTGTGAGTGTGGTCGTGAG